AAAAAAAAAAAGAAAAAAAAACTAAAAATCTCTAATATGCAATACTTAAGGAGAGTCAGAAGATGTCTTCATGTAAAACATAATATGCATATTGAAAGGAATATTAATCAATGCAAAAAAAGATTCAACTTCAGAGAAACATGTAAACATAGAGCTGCCACAAATAAAGAGCCATGAATGAGCCTTGACTATAAATATAAATAATAAATTAATATTTGTAATATAAGGAAAAGTCAATAAATGTTCTTGCCAATAATTAGAAGGTGTGAAAACTATTTCAGATACATAGCCATAATTTCTTCAATGTAACAAAATAAACTAAGCAAATTAAAAGGTTAAATCTTTTTGAAACTAGAACTACATAAAAACTAACAAAATATAATAATAATCATATTGGCAAAAGGATGATAACCTTCTTCTGTTTCCTGAATTAGAAAACACCAGAAGGAAAATTTACAATTTGAGCACACAGAACTTGAAAACCTGAGGCAATGAAAAATCATATGTCTGCCGACCAAGAAAGTTATTTGCATCAAATGTGTCAGATCATATACCCATTGTATACGAAGAGGTTACTCAACTTTATAAGTGATTCTGGATTTTCATGTGTGTGTGTGAAAAGCAACATAAAAATGTGTACAAGTTATAGGTCTCTGCTAAGCAAGAAAACAGGATGATAAGGAGAAGTGAGAACAAGAAGTCAGAGGACCATTTTGGAGTTCTGCATGGAGGGGCTCTTGACTCAAAGGGTGGAGAAATAATCTCAAATGTATAAAATATACATAATAAGAATCTATCAAAGAGAAATGTATCACCTGGTCATCTTTTAGAACAAGGGTTAGTCTTCAAAATGAAAAAGGATTTTATTCATAAGCTGAATGATTCATTTCACTGTGGCTTTTTCAAACCGGACATGAGTGAAGGCAAACCATCATTCACACCTGGAAAGATAAATCACTAACTTTTCATAGGACTATTCTTCAGTTTGAACCCACTTTGCTCTAAGTATTTTTCTAGTCTAACCCATTTGATTGGGTCAATGTAGTTTCATTCTAGTTTTTACCAGGTCATTAAATTATGGCAAGATGTTCTCATAGAAGAAACCAATTACCCCCAAATTTAAAAAAAAAGCTTCCATAATCATCCTTTTAGTTAAAACTTTCAGAAGTCCTAAATTACATATCACTAACTAAAGACTTACCTTGAGAATCACCTTTGTAAAGGTGCTAAATGCCAATTCCTTCCCAAATTGCTTTTATACATTCTATAAAATACCCATCAAAATACTAAAAGAATTTTTCAGGGAATTTGACAAAGCAATTCTAACATTCATATGGATATGTAAATTGTTTAAAAGAGTAAAATGACTTAAAAAAAAAAAAGAATAAAGCATAGCGGACTTGCCCTATCAGATATCAAGATATATTACAAAACTATAATAATGAAGCAGAGTGGCATTTATCAGGAACAGGAGAAGTAGGTCAATGACACAAAATAAAATAAAATAAAATAAAATAAAATAAAATAAAATAAAATAAAATAAAATAAAATAAGATAAAATAGCTTAGAAACACAGCCATAGACATATGGGAATCTGTTATGTAACAGAGAAGATACCAGCAATGGCTAGGATAGACTGCTCAGTAACTGACATTGAGACATTTCATTCTCTTTATGAAAAAAATCAAACTAGGTCCTAGTTAGGTGCAAAAATTACAAGTTTCAACCATTTTTAATTTCTGGATAGTGTGAAATAGATGTTTTCCCAGTATCATCCACATTAGTTATCTCTAAAGATTGTGAGGTTGGGAAAATATTGCCAGGGAGAGGTTCTGGAGAATAAAGTAGGAAACAGAAGGAGTAAATGAAGCCTTCCACTTCTTTTCAATATATTCTTGGGTTTTCCTTTCAATGTCAGCAAATTTGAAGTAATTACTAAAAAGTAAAAATAATTTGAGGAAAGATAAAAGAGGTTAGCCAAATGGAAACTCTTCATCAGTGTTATGAACTGAACTGTATCCCCCAAAATTCATAGGTTGAAGCCCTAATCCCCAATGTGACTGTATTTGGAGATAGGACCTATAAGGCAGTACTAGTTTAAATGACGTCATAAGATAAATGTGAGACAGAAAACTGTCAAAACCTAGAGGTGAAAACAGGCAACGATCTCTTTGACCTCAGCCACAGCACTTTCCTGCTCGACATGTCTCTAAAGGCAAGGGAAATAAAAGCAAAAATGAAGTACTGGGACCTCATCAAGATAAAAAAAAAAACTTCTACACTGTAAAGGAAAAGAATCAACAAAACAGAAAGGCAACTGACAGAATGGAAGAAGATATCTGCAAATGACATATCGAATAAAGGGCCAGTATGCAAAATCTATAAAAAACCTACCAAACTCAACACTTGAAAAACGAATAATCCAGTGAAGAAAAGGGCAGAAAACATGAATAGACACTTTTCCAAAGAAGACATCCAGATGGCCAACAGACACATGAAAAGATGTTCAACATCACTCATCATCAGGGAAATACAAATCAAAACCACAATGAGATACCACCCCACAACTGTCAGAATGGCTAACATTAACAACTCAGGAAACAACAGATGCTGGCATGGATGTGAAGAAACGGGAACCCTCTTGCACTGTTGGTGGGAATACAAACTGGTGCAGCTGCTTTGGAAAACAGTGCGGAGGTTCCTCAAAAAATTAAAAATAGAGTTACCCTATGACCCAGCAATAGCATTACTAGATATTTATCCAAAGGATACAGGAGTGCTGTTTCGAAAGGGCACATGCACCTCAATGTTTATAGCACCACTGTCAACAATAGTGAAATTATGGAAAGAGCCCAAATATCCATCAACTGATGAATGGATAAAGAAGATGAGGTTTATATATACAATGAAATACTACTTGGCAGTGAGAAAGAATGAAATCCTGCCATTTGCAGCGACATGGATGGAACTGGAGGGTATTATGCTAAGTGAAATAAGTCAGAGAAAGACAGATATCCTATGTTTTCACTCATATGTGAAACTTGAGAAGCTTAACAGAAGACCATGGGGAAGAGAAGGGGGAAAAAAAGTTTCAAACAGAGAGGGAGGCAAACCATAAGAGACTGTTGAATAGAACAAACTGAGAGTTGATGGAGGGGAGGGGAGTAGAGAGGGGGAAATGGGTGATGGGCATTGAGGAGGGCACTTGTTGGAATGAGCACTGGGTGTTGTATGTATGCGATGAACATGGGAATCTACCCCCAAACCAAGAGCACACTGTGTACACTGTATGTTAGCTAACTTGACAATAAATTATATAAAGAATAAATAAATAAATAAACAAACAAACAAATAAATAAATAATTCAGCAGCAAAAAAATAAGTAAATAATAAGTGAGGTCATAAGAGTGGGCCTCTAATCTGATAGGGATGGTGTCTTTGTAAGAAAAGAAAGAGACACAAGAGCTCTCTTCTCTGTCAGCGCACAGAGGAAAGGCCATGTGAAGACACAGTGGGAAGGTAGCTGCCTGCAGAGCAAGAAGAGACACCTCATCAGAAATCAGCTCTAATGGCACCTTGATCTTGGACTTGCATGGCTCTGAAATAATAAATTTTTATTGTTTAAACCACCCAATGTGTAGTACGCTGTTAGGGCAGCTTGAACAGACCAACACACCCAGCAAGCTTATACTTCCTCCCCTCCTACAGCCGTGGACCGTGTTTTCCTTTCCCCATAATTTGCTAAACTTGGGCTTCTGGATTTTTTTCTTTTACAAAAATAAGTTTAACTCTGGGTCAATCCGTAATGTGAACTATGCTCAAAATTCAGGAAATTACATTTTCCTCCACTTACAAAGAGAAGGGTAAAACCTGTTATTAATAGATAGTTTAAAATGCAAATCACTGTTAACATTTGTATTCTGCTAAAGAGTTCATTTTGCCCATAAACTCGGGTAATATTGTGATTTATAATAAATATATATTTGGTCTTTGTCCCCATTTATGGCACAGAGCCCCTAAAACCCTTGAAATTCCCTATGTGATAAGAAAGATAAGGATGCTGATAAGAAAGACAAAGATAAAGAAAGATAAAGATAAACCACCAATGGCCAATGATTCAACCAATCATGCTTATGTAATAAAGCCTCTATAAAAACCGAAAAGGATGGAATTCAGAGAACTTCAGGTTGGTGATCGTATGCAGGTGCTAGAAGACTGACTTGCTCAGAAAGAACATTGAAGCTCCGTGCCCCTTCCCACATACCTGGCCCTATGCACCTCTTCCATCTAGCTGTTTATCCTTCCTAATATCCTTTATAATAAACTGGTAAACATAAGCCAATGTTTCTCTGAGTCTGGGAGCCTTGCTAGCAAATTAAATGACCCCGTGGAGATATCCTTGGGAATCTCTCATCTATAGCCTACCACTCAGAACCACAGGTGACAACTTGGACTTGGGGTTGGCACCCAAAGTGCGGGGAAGAAGAGCAGTCTTGTAGGACTGAGCTGTTCACCTACAGGATGTGACACTATCTCCAGAATTTAATTTCCTGGTGCTGTTGGAAAAAAAACATACACATCAAAACCGGTGTCAGAATCAGAGCTTGGTCTGAGCACACATCACTTGAAAGTCATAGATCAAACACGGTGCACAAAGCATCTTCATTATCCAAGTAAAATATAACATAGTCAAATGAAAAGGTAATGCTTTACAAGTATTTCAACTGCTAGAAGCTCTTGCCAAACGCCCTTGCCATTTACATGTCTCAGTAATTCAAGTAATCTATTACATTCAACAACTCACTCTCCTTCAAAAACATCCCACATTTGTTTTTAAAACTTCCCTTGGAGAGGTAAACAGGATCCACCAATAAAGTCCTTTCATTGAGTCCATTCAAGACGTGAGAAAACTACCCCAATAAGTTTTACACAGAGTGCCTAAATATTAAAAGAAATCTTATTTCTCTAAGTCTTACCTGATTAAATTCTGGCAGACCTGGCATCCTGCGGTGCATCTAAATTAAAAAAAAACAACAACACAACCTCTGTTAGTCTAGTGATACATTTTGAAAGCACACTTAATGCACATACCGCAAATATGTATTATTTTCCAAGGTCTAGCAAAATCAGCACGTGCTAGTACTCATGTATCATTTCCCAAATATTCCCATTTGTCATTTGCCAAATATAATTAGACTGCAGCAACCATGACCTAATGAACAGAACACTGAAATTGAAACCTAAATACCTGGATTTAAATCTCATTGATTCAATGATTCCTCCAAGCCCCAGTTTTCACATCTGAAAATAACATCTGCCCCATAAGGTTATTAAGAGGATGACCTGAGATAATATATGTAATGTGTCTTAGACTGGTGGCATTGCAGTATATATAATAATGGTAGCCATTATTATTATTATTACTCTATGAAGATAAGAGAATTCTTGAGAATTCTGAGAATTAAGAAAATGTATTTACATAGTATAAATATGTAAACATATATTTATAAATTATATACAATAATTATATATTACTTATATGCTGTATATTATATGATTTAGTAATATAATTGTATATAAATTTATATACAACTTTAAAACCATAAAACACTGTCAAATCAAAAGACGGTTGGTGTGATTATAAGTATTACCCTTATTAATCTTTCTTTTTATAATTCAAAAAAGAACCTTCTGATGTTGGGGGATCATGGTGATCACCACTGATCATATTTTAGGTATAAAGAAGCTTCAGTTAGAAGAGAATATTAGTTAAAACAATGGAAGAAAATATAGTACTCATAGGATCAGGATCATTCTAAATTATTCAGAAACAAATATTTAGGCCCTGTCACTTCTTCCTGTCCTAGCCTTTTGGGACTGTCTCTTCTCAGAAGCTTCACTTTGCCAGCAAATGAAAAATAAGAAGGAAAAAGACATTGTCATCAAGTCTATCAGATCAGTTTCTTATTAGGAATTACAAAAATAACAAACAAAAGATAAATTTTCATCTAAATTTAAAATCATGAACTATCACCTTTTTCTTGTGCACAGTCAGGAAGAAAACCTCATGAAAGATACAATTTTGAGATTCTTACTAGGATCTAAGAAAAAGGCTGGCAAACGAAGAACCATAATCATCCATTAATTTTTTTTCATAATTACACAAAATAGAGACTGCTTGTGGTAGATCTTGGACCATTCTATAATATGGAACTATGATCATTGCTATTCTCCTTGAGTCTATGGGCTAATGGCCTGTAGTTTATCACATTTCATTAACACGATGATTATGAAAATGATTTTCTATTTGCAGAAGCAGAAGGAGTTGCCGGAGCTCAGTCTGCCTTCCATTGTGACCATCGTCACATCACAAGATGTCATAAAAGCTGAAGGGAAAAAACAAGGTTACCTTGGCTTCTGTAAAACATTTTATAAGCAGGTAAAATGAGAACTACCAATCACAAGGCTTACAGACCACAGGTAATTCAATGAGGGTGGGGCTAGTAAATATTTAACAAAGGCAAGGATCACTGTTTTAGTGGTCCCCAAAGATCAAGAATTTCATGCTACCCTTCATAAGCATACAACTGTTGTTTCTAAACTTTAAATGAACATAAGGCCAAATGCTAAAAAAGATCTAAAAATAGAGTGCCCCTCCCAATTAAAATATGGCTCTTCTATTTTCTTTTTCCTTTTAATTTCTACTCCCCAAGGGCAATACCATCCAATCTTAATTTCATGAACCCAATTACCCTGGGGAATTTTCCATAGCCCTTTATTCTCCTATCTTTCACTGGCCGCTGTTTTGAACTTTGTTCTAAAAGTAGAGCTTCCAAAGGGTTCTCAAGAACTCAGCAAACTCAAGTCATTCCATTCTGACATCCACTACCCGCTCAAACAAAAAGTATATGGGGAAAACAGGGAACTCTGCATAATCTGAACACGGCGTCTTGAAATATCCCGAACTGTAACGATTTTCCATAAATGCTTGAGATGGGGAAAAGGAACATTCACAATATTTTCAATATTCAGTATTCAGAAGCTGTAAATTGTTCATCCAAACCAGGTAGAATGGACACAGCACCAGATATTTTCCTCATTTCTTTTTTTTAATTTGTTTTTAAATTATTTTTTTTTAATTTTTATTTATTTTGAGAGAGAGAGAGACAGAAAACTAACAAGTGGGGAAGGGGCAGAGACAAAGGGGGACAGAGTATCCCACGCAGGTTCCATGCAGACAGCAGAGAGCCTGATGTGGGGCTTGAACCCACGAACCGTGAGATCATGACCTGAGCCAAAGGCAGTCACTTAACCAACTGAGCCACCCAGGCACCCCCTTAGGTTTTGAATTTTAATTTCAGTATAGTTAACATCCAGTATTCTATTAGTTTCAGGTGTACAATAGAGTGATTCAACAATGCTCTACAGTACTCCGTGTTCATCCTAAGTGCGCCCTTAATCACCTTCACCATTTCACCCACCTCCTTCCAGTAAACTTCAGATTATTCTCTGCAGTAAAGAGTCTATTTCTCCGTTTGTCTCCCTCTCCTTTTTCGTCTTCCCCTTTGCTCATTTGTTTTGTTTCTTAAATTCCACAAATGAGTTAAATCATATGGTCTCTGCCTTTCCCTGACTTATTTTGCTTAGCATGATGATCTCTAGCACCATAATATTTGTTGCAGGGGTTCCCCTAATTGCCATTATTTCACTAAGAGAAATAGAAGCATCAAAGAAATGACAACCGCCACGATAGTAACAGTGGCTCCATCAGGGTGATGTCATTATGATAAGCCTTTTCTTCTTTATACTTCCCTCGGTCATTAAACAGATGTTTGTCAGGAGCGTACCAAGCAGCAGGCACGGTCAGAAGCAACTGGGTTTGGAGTAAGGAATGAAATCAACAAGGTCCCTGAGTTCGGCAGATTGTCTGCAATAATCATGTATTATTTTTATAAAGACAATGAAACAGGGGCGCCTGGGTAGCTCAATCAGTTAAGCATCTGACTTCAGCTCAGGTCATGATCTCACAGTTCATGGGTTTGAGCCCCACGTCGGGCTCTGTGCCGATGGCTCAGAGCCTGGAACCTGTTTCAGATTCTGCGCCTCCCTCTCTCTCTCCGCCCCTCCCCCACGTGTGTTCTGTCTCTCTCTCTCTCTCTCTCTCTCTCTCTCTCAAAAATAAATAAACCTTGAAATAAATAAATATATAAAAAGAAACATTGATTAAAAATAAAGAAACGCTCACTTTACAGATATATATTATTGAATCCTCTAGACAAATCGTATCTCTACGTTTCCACAAACAGTCCTCAAAGTAGTGTTGCTTTAAAATGGAAAATAGAGGGGCGCCTGGGTGGCGCAGTCGGTTAAGCGTCTGACTTCAGCCAGGTCACGATCTTGCGGTCCGTGAGTTTGAGCCCCGCATCAGGCTCTGGGCTGATGGCTCGGAGCCTGGAGCCTGTGTCCGATCCTGTGTCTCCCTCTCTCTCTGACCCTCCCCCGTTCATGCTCTGTCTCTCTCTCTCCCAAAAATAAATAAACGTTGGAAAAAAAAATTTTTTTTAATAAAAAAATAAAATGGAAAATAGAATTAAAAATTGTACCTGTGAGGGTCTTTTGAGCTAGGTATGATTTTGCTACATTCTCTCTTGTTGAACACTCCTTCAATCCAGGATTTCTGGGACTGAAGAGAAAGCGTCGTTATTTTTCATATTATAATTATGTAAGAAAGCAGGTGGAACTACAGTAGTTCTGGGAGGCGAGACATATTTAAATATCATGGAGACGAATCAAAATGTCAAGACCAACCCCAAACAGACTAAGCATTTACTGGCTTCTATCACAGACAACACAGACACAAATAAACCAAATGCGAACACAAAAATAATCACAAATAGATCCATAATCTCATTTTCAGCAAAATGTCCATAAATGCACAAAACTCTAGGAAGGAAGGAATAACTGAAGCATCATTTTAATCCTGTTACAAGTCACTTTTAAATCTTGTACCATAGTTCTATAGAGTGAATTTCAAGTTCTCCAACTTCAAAATTCTCACTCATAAAGTCCCACTTTGGTGAAGATTTCACAGGAAGCTGGAATCTCAGCAGGATTCTGTGGAAGGGCTTGAATCTCAAATGGGACTGCAGGAGATGAATTGAGGAATCTCATGCACATGACCTCAGAAGAACAGAGCTTAAAAACTGAGACACTGACTCCCAGTAAATGCCTCACATACAGAAGACTGAGACTTACCTCCTGACCAATGAACATCTGCCAAGAATCTCTCCTCATCCTCAAGCCAATGAACTTAATGACTTGGAGTCTGGCTGGACTTCTTCCTGTTTGCACTCCTTACCCATAAATATAGACCACCCCAAGCCTTCCATGGACTCAGGTATAGCTTGCTACAGCGTGCTTCCTGAACTGCAATTGTCTTGCTCTTCCTGAATCAACTCAATTTCTGGTCATTAGGGCTTGCCTCAGTTTACTTCTCTATTTAGGTAGACAATTTGATTCACATTCTATAAGCATGGCTTACCCCTGACTGTGCCGCTTCATGTCGCACAGCCTACAACAGTCCTTAAATCCTCATGGGACATAGGTACTCGTAATAAAATCTCTCCCATTCTACAAAACTCAACTCACAGCCATGCTCTCCCACGGGCCATGTTATCAATCCAGAAGCAGAGGACACTGGAGCCACGATAGACCCCAGCCAATTGATGAGCTTGGCCTTCTAATATGAAAATATTTTAGCTCATATCAACATATAAGTACATTACATAAAAATATAAACACATGCATTACCGCAGTGACAAAAGGGCAGTGGACGGGAACCCGCAAGGGGGCTTTTCAAACTCCATGTTACTGCCGCCCCCACCTCACTCTGACATCTGTTCTCATCCTACAGTTGCAGGAAATGCACAGCACCAGACAACAGGTGACGAATCCAGCTGTGCAACCTCATTCTCTGGGACTTTATCCTCACGTCCCAGATGCTCAGGACATGCCACCCTAAAACATGCTGCCTTGGTGTATAGGTTCTTTTGAGCTGTAGGCACTTGGAAAACGGCAAGTATGGTGAGAGGCTTTCGCTGAACTCTCCCAACTGCCTAAAGATGGATCTTCCACAGGAACTCAATTGTCATAAAGCCCTGGGAGTTTCATCAACCAAGAAGGATTGACTCTTATCTCAAGACAAGGGAGTAGAAGTCAACATCACACCCAGACAAACCTGGTCACAAACTATCATATCTCCCATCTATTCTTCTAAGGGCCCATTCATCTTTTCTACAAATCATTAACTCTCTCCTAAATTGCCTACACCCCCAACCCTTCCCCTATTGGGACAGAATATCAATTCTCAAATATCACCCTTTTTGGGGCATTTACTTTTGTTTTCCTGTTATGTCCCCATGCACCTATCAAAAATTAATAAATGTGCCTATCTTTTCTTCTGTCCGTTTATTACAGAGCCGGCCATCAAACCTAAGAGAGCAGGGGAAAAGTTTTCCTTCCCCCACAATTACAAATGAGGCATTTATGGACTCCCCTGTATACTTCAATATTAAACTCCTGGATTTTGTTCAATATGCGCCAACCCTAAACATAACTGCTGACTACTGAATGGAACTGTATATAAGCAGAATCCAGATCTTGTTAAGCAAAAAGGAGGGGGGTGGGCATTGACTGACTGGTTCCTGCACATTTTAAACATATCTATAAACAAGGAAAACTTCCCAGATCAAGCCCAGGTCATCTTAAAATCATTCTACCCTCTTTTTTTTATTTTTTAGACAGAGAGAGCATGAGGGCAAGGGAGAGGGACAGAAGGAGAGACATAATCTTAAGCAGGCGGCACACTCAGTGCAGAACAACCCTGGATTCATAACCTGAGCCAAAATCAAGAGTCAGACACTCGAGTGACTGAGCCACCCAGGTGCCCCCAAAATCATTCTACCTTCTTATCCCTTTTGCATAGTCAGCAGCTTTTTAAAAGCCATCCGCTAAATTGGTAGAGCACTAAAAACATAGAAACTTGGAAAAATTCAGAGTCACAGACCATGGAGTGAACTCAACAAAGTAATCTCAAAATCTACTTACTATAACAAGAAATGACACAACCTTTTGGAATTGGTAAGCCCTATTTCCACTACAAAAACTAACAACTTCATTTATTCATTCTGCAAGCATTTATTAAGTACCTAACTTTTTGCAAAGTACTGAGAAGAGTGCTATAGGGAAGTCAGTATGTTCTCAAAGAGCTCTTCATTCCAAATTGATTCAACCAATATATCGGATAGGCCTCCAGGCTGCATGCTGTCAACTCTATGACAGGTAAGACAAGCTTTTTGCTCTGATGTAACTTGGAATAAAAAGGAGGAAACATAATAAGCTGGTATCGTTAAACTGCACGTTCACCAGTTAACTATTAAAAAGCGCTCCAAAAAGGGTCATTGATATAGGAAACTAGATATACAAATTAAGCAGGCTATGTTGTCATTCATTCTTTTTAAGAGACTAGATTAGGTATCTGACTGGTAGGCCTATCTGAGCAAATTAATTTCTTCATGCCTGTTTGGTCATATATTGAAAATGGAGATAATAATAATACCTCATAGCACTGTTGAAAGGAATAAATTAAAGCTTTAGAATTTTCCCTGGGACTTATTAAGGGTCGATTAAAGCTTAGCTATTATTATTGATATATATAAAAAAAAAAAAATTAGCTTTTGGTTGGTAGCCAGGGAACTTAACTTTGATTTTTTTTTTTTCTTCCATAGGAAAATACTTCCTGACCTCCAAATCCTCCTCCTGGGACATCTCATACTTAAAAGAAATGACTTCTCTGGGTCCACCTTCCCCACTAGACTCTTGCTCTCATGGGCCCCACTGACAGTCATTTCTGTTACCCCCGGGGCCCAACCCAGTGATTACTGGAATGAACAACACAACGAACACGCATAAACTAGAACTTCAGGAATCCATGAACATAATTTTCCCTTCAAAGGTATAAACAGGAGACCTGTGCCATACCAAGAACATGGAAACTTTGTTCCTGCAATTCTCACGTCTAATCTCAAAACTATGGGAAAAGAAAATCAGGCCAAATTTGCAAGAGTTTCAAGCAATTCCCAGTTTCAAACTTTACTTTATCTTGTAACGATAGCCTTTTTAATACACTCTGCAGCACATACAGAAGAGGCTCTCACATTCAGATCAACAGAGAGTGGTTAGAAACCAAATGTTTGTTGGTTCTAATTCAATAGCCCAGATCCATTGAGGACAAATGTCCAACGTGGTGGCTTCTGCCACTTGGAGCAGCAAACTGTCGTGGGCAGTAGTTGGGGGTGGAGACTATGCCATTTCTGCAGCTATGATGGCAGCCTACAGAGCTGGGTGTTTTGCTGAGATGATAGATAGACAGACAGACAGGCAGACAGATAGATACTGAGGGGGGGGGGGGGGGGCGTTTGTTGACTGACATTACTATCCGGAGGAGGGAAAGGCAGAGGACAAAAAAGGGAAACTGTTGGTCTCGGGTTCTGTGTTTGCCTCACTCTAAAACATAATCAGATTGTACATACAATCCCAGGCCTGAGGGGAGGGCGGCCAATAGCAAATAAAGGTCTAAAAACAAATCTCCCAACAGAAGCTATACAAACTAATAATAAGCTTATCAGTCAATAAGCTATATGAATTCATCCCTGTCCTCAATGAAAACTATTTCTACACTGGGGCTTTTCAGGCTCCGAGAGAATAAACAGATCCTCTCTCAGGGGAATCTCTGAGAGGGCATCATTTTAAAGATTGTATTTTTAAAGTGATCTCTGCATCCAACATGGGGCTTAGACTCACAATTTTGAGATCAAAAGTTGTATGCTCCACCGACTGAGCCAGCCAGGCACCCCTGAGAAGGCATAGTTTTAGACACATTCCTTAATTAAAAAAAAAAAAAAATTCTGCAAATGATTGTTCTTTAAAATCCAGAGGGCTGTGCGATTGGGAGTGAAGGGGTACACAGATTACAGGTCATTTCTTTTTAAAAACTCGGTTGTACTTTCAAAAAATCTAATGTCTAACAAATGTTTTCCCAGGTGAAACTACAGGTTCCCATTTTTATGCTTCCCACACTATCTTTTTGTTTTTCTAATTCAAGTTAGTTAACATATACTGTAGTATTGGTTTCAGGAGTTGAATTTAGTGATTCATCACTTACATAGAACACCCAGTGCTCATCCCAAGTGCCCTCCTTAATGCCCATGACCCATTTAGTCTATCCCCACACCCACTTCACCTCCAGCAACCCTCAGTTTGTTCTCTGTATTTAAGCATCTCTTATGGTTTGCCTCCCTCTGTTTTTATCTTATTTTTCCTTCCCTTTCCCTGTGTTCATCTGTCTAGTTTCTTAAATTCCACATATGAGTGAAATCATGATATTTGTCTTTCTCCGGCTTATTTCCCCTAGCATAATACACTCTAGTTCCATCCATGTTGTTGCAAATGGAAAGATTTCACTCTTTTTGATCCCAGAGTAATATTTCATTACACACACACACACACACACACACACACACACACACACACACACACCACGTCTTCTTTATCTGTTCATCAATCAATTTTTGCCCACACTATCTTATACATATCACAGCATGAACAATGCTTAATTAATTGCTC